ACTTTCTAGATGCTACTAATCATTTGAATAATTGCTGGTACAGTGGACCCTCTACTTAAGGAATTAATCCATATTGGAATGGTGGCTGCAAGTGAATGTGAGGCTTTTTAGAATTTTGAGTAGAAAATATGTAAATCAGAGGTATATTAGCTTCTCTATTCCCAACTTGGTCTTGAGTAAATGAAAGGATAAGGTAACATTTGGTCAATAGAACAAATTGCATCCACAAAACTGCAGGAAAATTGCCCCACTTTCTAGATGCTACTAATCATTTGAATAACTGCTGGTATGTTTATGTGATAAAGGTAACAAAGTTCTATACTTTCCCTGTCTGTGCTTCTTTACTTGTAACTATCTTAGGGTCCACTGTATGTTTATGTGATAAGGGTAACAAAGTTCTTTACTCTTTTCCCCGTCTGTGCTTCTTTACTTGTAACTATCTTAGCTTTTTTTTCAAATTAGAAAAAAATAATAAGTATCTGACTCATTTTGCTGCATTTGGGGTAGGGAGCACACCTCTCTTGAGGTAGCCTGCACATTGTACTACAGCCATGTGGAGTAAAAATTCAACATCCCTTTTTTGCATTTATATATTTCAGAAGAAGAATAACTTAGCCTTTGAGCCGGCCACACCTTTATTGCTGCTAGTTTGTAAGCTAAGTGTGTGCTCAGAACACTAATGGAAGTATGTATTTTTTCCTGTTGTAGTTTTCAAAAATCTTCTGCTCTGTAACATGGTTCTCTAGAAGGCTTACAAAAATACAAGCAACTGAAAGGTGAAATTGCAGAGAAAAGTTGCTTTGATAGGAGTTCAAAGAATAAGAGATTCTTCTTGAAAGGCATTATTTCTTGTTTGGCATGGGAATGAGGATACCCAGTCTGGACAGAGTCAAAGACTAGAACTCAGGAAGCCTGTGTTCAGGGAACCTATCTTTAGTCATAAAAATCTCATGAATCCCCACTTAGTCATGAATGCGTCTCTGGGAATGTGGAACTGGTAAATCCACTTCTTAAATATCTCACCTCACTTATCTTGAAAGCTCTGTTGGGTTGCTTTTCGGTCAGCTCTGATTTGATGGCACATAACAAAAACATGGGAATGAAACACTGAAGAAAAAGTTGATTACTAATCTTCTTGGAAGGGCTGGGATAAACAATAACGTTTCAGTTCCACTTAGAGACTAAGTCCTCATGTTTTATTTTATTTTATTTTATTTTATTTATTTTTTTTGGTCTTATGAGCAAGGTTTCCTTGATATTCCTGAACACACACCCCTTGGGAATATTTATTCTCTGCCTAAATCCTTAAAAAACATACACACATAGCACAAACACAGTTTATTGTTTCTCCACCTATCCCGAATTACAGGAAAGGATGTCACAGTCCAATTTAGGCAGAGGCTGTTCTGGCAGAGGAGAACCATAAGGTTCACTTAGGGTTTTTCCTTGCAGTATTCCTTCTAATGCAGTAACAGCCCTCCTATAATTCTGTATGAACATTTTTACCAGTGAAAGGAAGTTTTCTGGCCCATTTATAATCAGCACCAGGAATATCTGTAACCTGGCCAGAAAAATCTGTTCCTTTCTAATGAGGTGCTGGAGTTAATAGTCTCTCAGTCTGGCAGCTTGCACACAGAAAACTGAACTGCTCAAAAGGTTGAAGAACAATAAAACTCCACCATGCTGCCATTCTTCTCCCAGTGCTAGCACTCTTATACCGCTTCTTTTCCTTTTTTGTTTTTTGTTTGTTTGTTTTCAGAAGTCAGGAGAAACACTTCAGGCCCATTGCAGCCATCAAACACTTTCTCAGCACTGACCCCATAGAGCATTTTCCATAGGCCAAAGGTTTATCCAATGTACAGGTTACTGTCCTCTGAAGATGCCGGCTACAGAGACTGGCGAAACGTCAGGAAGAACAACCTTCAGAACACGGCCAAAGAGCCCGAAAAACCCAGAACCACCATTTTATCCAATGTGTTTCTGTCTTTGTTGTTGTCTTTACATGACATCACATCACTACTAACGTAGAGCAATCCTATGAATCAATGACCTCCAAACTGTCCTAGTTTTAGAAGAGGTGGCTGTATTAATCTGTGCAAAAACAAATTACAAATTTAAAAAAAGAAGACAAAGACATTGTGGCACCTTAAAGATTAACTGCTATATTTTATTGTGACCTTTTGTTGACAAGTCCACTTCTGAAGCGGACTTGTCCACTCTAGCACCTCATTTAGAAAAGGAATAGATTTTTCTGGGTCGAATTCGGAGGAAGTGGACTTGCCCACAAAAGCTCACTGGACTTGTCCACTCCAGCACCTCATTTAGAAAATAGATTTTTCTGGGTCAAATTCGGAAGAAGTGGACTTGCCCACAAAAGCTCACATTAAAATATAGCAATTAGTCTTTAAGGAGCCACAATGTTTTTGTCTCCTTTATTTATTTATTTTTGTTTTGTTTTTACCTGACACTCCAGACTGTCCTGTCATTAACAACTCTGCTCAGTTATTGCAAACTAAAGTCCTTTGCTTTCATTATGGAAATAATCCATTTCGGTTTTTTTAATCGTTTGAACAGTAGAGATAATAATATACCCAAGTCATTCTGAACCTGAAAAGTTTGAACTATTACATCAGGCTCAGAATGTAGATGTATAGATCTATTGTAGAAGCCATTTATCCTGACAGTTTCTTCATATCAGCTGACCTTACTAAAACCTGTTTCTGCTTACCTAACTATTCCGTTCATAGGCTTTTATGAGACTTTTCATGAGCTGAAAAGTTTCAACAAAATTCTTTCCTGTTTGGCCTTTGCTTGATCTCCACGTTTCTACAAACATGATGGCACCACTTGTGTATAGGACTAGGCACTCATCTTTGGACGTGGGTGGCCATATATGCTGGACTGGGCATTCATTAATGTCAAGTGTCATAACAGACTGGAAATATTATTACTAGTTTGGTTTTGCAATTAACAAGAATAAAAGTTATCTCCAGCCAACTGCAGAATGTATAGCACTGAAAAATTATTATAAATACAGTTTCAAAGAAAATCTTTCTGTCCCAAGATCATTCTCTCAAATTTTGTTCATAATACAAAATGATCACCTCAGCAGAATTTCCCATCTTTCACTCTCAGTGAAATAATATGCTGGGTGCCCAAACTCAAAGGAAGTTTCAGACTTCAAAACAAAGAATACAAAAGGGGCGCTTGGGAACTGGACTCAGGCTAAGAGAGAATTATTTAGGATTAATTATTTGACTCAGAATGAAAAACATCAATGAACTTCCTTGCTACTGATTGAGTTAAAGCTAGCCGATAGAGCATTATAAAAGCCAGTTATCTGACAGACAATCATCTGACAAGTAGAAGTATATGGGTGGGGGAGGGGGGAGGCTTCACAAGGAGTATGGTAATAAATCTATACTTTCCCCCTCCATTTCTGAAACACCTCTGGACAAAGGGTGTGTGCACATATGCAAAGACATTAAAATCCTCCCATCAGATTGATATAAATTGCCTATATCTCATACTGAAGATTGCAAAAACAAGTATCCATTGAAAGATACATGATGTTTTGGTAGGCCATTGATTGGTCAGTTCGAATTTACTGAGTGGGAATATCCAGATGAATATCTTTGTCCATAAAGACTTTCTTTCTCATTGCATGACTATAAGAGCCAAGTCTATGTTGTGGATTTATGTACCTTGAGCATCCCTTCCAATTCTGAAATTCTGTGATTTTATGATTATATGTGTAGTCCCCAACTGTGTTTTGTTGCCCTACTCTTTGAGATGGACTTGAATCTGTTCTCTTTGGAGTTATCCTCATCATCATGAGGAAACGGGAATGGAAAAATGTCCTGCAGATGTTTTGGCCCCCAGATGTCCCCAGCCAGAATGATTAACTATTAAGGGTTTTGGGATCGGAAGTCCAAAACATTTGGAGAACCAATGACAATTATTGTGCTAGAGCTTGGGGAATTATATTAAAGAATACCAAGGATCACATTCAGAAAGCCATCCAGAACTAGGCAGTGGTAGAATGATGCTCTGGATCCCAGAGCCATTACTTATGACATTGCTATTGTTTCTCTGGATCCCAGAGCCTTTAGTTATGGCATCGTTACTCATTCTTCTTAAAAGTCTTTCATCAAGCTCTGCAGCCAACCCAGAAAGATATACATAGATGGTTTTGAACTGGCTAGATTTCTGAAGGGAAAACAGTTTCGGTTCCAGTCTCATTTCTGCAGTAAATCTGTGGCAAGTAATCTAGTGATGCCTCATGCACCACAAGGAGCCTCGTGGTGCATTGGTTAAACTGCTGTACTGCAGCCAAAACTGTGCTCACAACCCAGGGTTCAATCCCAGGGAGCCGGCTCAAGGTTCACTCAGCTTGCTGCCGTTTACTTATTTTCTTTCTCTTCTCCCCTACCTATCTCCTCTTTTTCTTTCTTATTGTTATTTCTCTTCCCCCACACCAGTATTGGTTTAGACATTTGTCGTGCTCACCCCCTTTCCCACACTCTGTAGGCAGCAGGACATCTCTCTCTCTCCCTCCCTCCCTCTCAGCAGTATAGGTCAGGGTGTCTGCAGAATGAACCAATTTTGCCCAATATCCCCTCATTTCTAGCAAATGTTAGGGACGTCTGGCACCTACTGGTGGAAGATAAAACTACAGATGTTAATTAATTATTTAGTTTTAAAAAACCAAATTAACTTAGCACTGTGCATCCCTGTGTCCCTTAATATATATACAAAATTTCAGATGTCTGGGTTTAATTTTCTTTCAGCCATTGTGGAAACATACATTCAGTATGTATTTGTTTTTCCTTTTTGTTTTTCCTTAGTTGGCTTATAAATTTGCCCTGAATATAATCTAAAAAACAACAACATTTGAACATGAGGATAGATGGCTGAGACAGATGATAAGCAAAAATATTTTGAATGTATTTCCTAAATAAAACCACATAGAATTGAAGATCTTTTATCTTTTGTTACAGATCGCTTTACACAGTACAGTCCTAAAAACCTTAGACAAGCCTGGAACAAGTAAGTGTCTTAAATAAAACATTGTATCCATATTGCTAATTGTTTAATTAGGACTATATGTCTCCCCTTATTTTAGAAAACTGTATGTTTCTAATATCGGAAGCTACCCGAGTATGATTGTCACAGGTGGCTGAATATCTCTCTTTGACTTTATTTGATCAATCAAGCATATACTTGATGAGAAATGGCAAAGTCAAGTTGTGTTATTTATAAATATGTAGAGGGAAATGCACACAGATAAGCAAATTAAGAGCTGGATCTACTTACATTTTTATTTCTTGAAAGCTGATTCTGCAACATCCCACCCCATTCTGACTGACAGGACAGTCCATAGTGTGTCTAAACTGATGTGCAGGATTTAACATTGTTCCATTAGGTTTTTATCTATATTGTAGAACAAATACAGTCAATCACAGCATTGCGTTAAAAACTGTGCTTTAAATAAGGAGTGCATTTTAAGGTAAGCTATTTTTGCAAAGGGTTCTTAGTAAACTCACTACTTTTTTATTGGATAGATGCAATTACAACAAAAGCTAAAGATAATTATTAGAAACTATCTTAACATAATTATTCAATGTAAATGGTATGATGAATAATTGCATGAATTGTATCAGAATACACAGAGTACGGCATATTTAAAATTGACAGATAAAAAAGATATAGTTTGCTAGTTTACACAAACATTCATGAAATATGTAGGAGATTTTCAATGTCGTTTTACTAATTGCACATATTTCTCTTATCTTAAGAGAACAATGTTATTTGATGGACTTATAGAAATACAAGAACTAATTGAAACAGCATTTAAATTTTAATATAATTTTCCTTTTTAAAATGCAAACAAGCAATGTTCCCTTTAATTTTCAGCCCCTCTTGGTGGGGCTCTACACCTCACCCATGTGACGTTGCCTGTGCACATGATCCCCACACACACACGTGCACAGGGTTGTGTCATAACTGGAACCAAAGGGGCAGAAAATGATCACTGTTGGTGTGTGGAGGAGGAAGAAGACTGCGAGGAGGGGGACAGAGTAGTATGCATTTGCACAAATGCACACCTTAGAGGATAACTTGCAAAGAAGCCTTGGTTCTTCGTGGTCTCTGAATGCACACTAATGGCTTAATCTGCACTTGCGCAGAGCAGTCTCGGAACTTTCCAGAGCTGGAGGACATGGTTCTGGAACCTCCCACATGCTGCCCTTGACCCTGCCCCCAGCGCCGAGTGCCTCGGCTCCTTTCTTGCTGCCGCTGCAGCAGCACCTCGTTAGGAACATCTGTGCGCTATTTCATTCACGTACCTTCCTTACCTTCTCTTTGGACCTCCCTGGCTTTGTTTCATTCAACAATTCTTCTTCACTGCGAGTCTGACTAAAAGAATAAAACCAGACTGTTAATTGTGTTAGGGGAGCCATAGTGGGCCTCTTTATGAGGTGCGAGAGCTGCCCCAACAAGATTGCCCTCTCCAACGGACACTCTCCGCGTTTGTTTTGTCTTGGGGAGGAACTCTGAAGTCAGAACTGTGTGGGGCATGTGTGGGGCATGTATAAACTTTGCTAAACCAGCTTTAAAGTTGAGGCTTGAACACCTCTCTTCTTTTCTCTGGGAAAAGTCTCTGTCTCCAGCCCCAGAGACTCCCATGGATCCACTGCAGGTGGAGTGGCAGCCCTCGGTCTCAGGCTCGCCACCACCTCCTAAAGCCCAGAAGGGTTCTAAAATGGTGACATCTTCCTTGGGATCGAGGTTGACAGCTATGGCATCTACACCAAAGCTTCCTGACAATCGGTATGCCTTAGCTTACCATTGGGGGACCAAGATGGTCCGCCCCCGGTGCTGGAGGCCTTGCCATCACCATGCTGTTACATACAGCACTGATGTTACCTGTCTGTCATGGGTTTGGAGGGAAAGTTCCATCCTAAGTGCTGGAGGCCTTGCCATCACCATGCATCAGCTACTCTCCTGACTGGGGCAACACCTCTGCGGAGATAGTACAATTGGCGCAGGCTAGCCCACGAATTCCTCCGGGATTGATTGGATTACATGTCTCCATCTCGCCACTGGAATCAGTGCTGATGGAAGTGCCTAGGAAGAGAATGCACAAATCCCAGCACCTTGAGCCACCGCGTGAGCCTGAGCTCCCTCGGCATTGATCAGTCCCTGGTCACGACTATGCACGCTATAGCAAGGGTGGCGCTACTATGACCATCCGGTGTACTGTAATCCTTATGACTTCGAGCCTGACCCATGTTCCTATCTGAGAGCCTACAGGTTCAACCCATACTATCTTCGTTGTTACTACCATCCCTGTTCACCATTGCTGTCACCTTCTCCCCCTCAATACTGGCTTTTTGAAGATCGCCCTGCAGGTACCAAGGACGATTTCTATCCCTCTGCAGCCCCCTAAAAAGCATCTGCCTCTGGACTATGCCCCTGTGGTCGATGTTAAGCGAGCTTATCATCTGGTATCGGACCCTGAGAGTGTGTAGGCAGCTCCGGAGTGGCTTCAGTCTCCAGCCCAGTGCCCTTCTAGAGGAGATGTTGATAGACTAGTAGCCCGAGTTCATACCGTCACCTACCATGCGCTGCCCTGTCACGGAGATTATTCCCTGTCTATCAATCACGAGCCATTAGACTCTGATTCACTGGTCTCAGGCAGGGAGGAAGACTCACCTCCCAATGTTCCCATGCCTGGTTCTGATGTCATGGAGAATCATCCTCCCTTGCCATCTGAGGACTATACCTCTTACTCCCAGCTTATTCTTTGCATTGAGAAGGTGTTGGACCTGGCTGTGGAGCAACCTACAGCAAAGAAAGTGGACAAAGTATATGAGGATATAGCCCAAGACCAGACCCCGCCTCTTCGGCTTGGTTTTTTTTCATCATTATCAGACCTTATGAAAGAGTCTTGGGCTAAACCTTCCTCATCCTATCAGATCCCCAGAAGAGTGGAGAACCTTTATAAGATCTATGGGGAGAATACAGACTTTCTTTTGAAGCATCCTCTCCCAAACTCCTTCGTGGTGGATGCCACACAAAATAGAGCTAGGAATCGGTCAACTTCAACACCAAACAGTGAGGAGGGCCACAAGCTGGTTGTTATGGGCCAACGGATGTATTCGTTGGCTTCCTTCATTTTGAGAGTAGCCAACTACTTGGCCACCATGGGGACCTACCATCTCCATATATGGAATTCAACACTACCCATCCTGGAGGCGGCACCTGAAGATGTCCATGCTCGGGGCCTGGCTTTTCATCAGGAAGCTATGGTCCCGGCTCACCAGGAACGTATAGTGGCCAGGCACATTTTGGATGTGGCCTCTAAACAACTGGCCACAGCCATCTCCCTGGTTGCCATGCCTGGCTCTGCTCGGCGGGACTTTCTGAGGATGTGAGGGCAAGAATTGAGGTCTGCGTTGCCATGCCTGGCTCTCCTCGACGGGAATTTCTGAGGATCTGAGGGCAAGAATTGAAGACCTGCCATTTGACAACATCAACCTGTTCTGCCATTTGACAGCATCAACCTGTTTGACAAAAAAAAAATAGATGAAATTCTTGATAACCTCTTAAAGCATAGAAAATGGCAAAGTCTTATTCTAGCCAGCAGTACCGCCCCAGGGGCACCTGGTGCCAGCTCTGTTCTTCAAGAACCTTCCAAGACCGCCAGAGACCTCAGGACTCAGGACTTTTGTCCTCGTCCTCTCTGCAATTTAGCAGGCATGCCGACTGGACCAGAAGGCCAGGCAAACACTTTGACACATCTCCTTTACCAGCAGTAGTAGACCCCTCTGTCCATCTCGCCCCTTCCTTCACTCATGGTGCACAATCACTTCGGACTCCTGGGTCCTCTCCATTGAATCTGACACCTCGTCCTCTCAGCAATTGAGCAGGCAGTGCCCCTGTCAGCAGGCACGCTGACCGGACCAGAAGGCCAGGCAAACACTTTGACTCATGTCCTTTACCAGCAGTAGTAGACCCCTCTGTCCATCTCGCCCCTTCCTTCACTCATGGTGCACAATCACTTCGGACTCCTGGGTCCTCTCCATTGAATCTGACACTTCCCCTCTTATGGGCCAGCTTAAAACTACTGCCCCAACTCCTGCTTTGGAAGATGAAATAGGAGCCCTTCTTCAGAAGGATGCCATTCTCCATCTGCACCGTCCTGATGTTTCAGTCGGGTTTTATTCCCAATATTTTATAATTCCAAAGAAGGATGGCGGACTTTGTCCCATTCTTGACCTCCACAATTTGAACTCATATATCATTCCCCGGCAGTTTCGTATGGTCTCTTTGGATGTCACCATCCAGCTGTTGAGGCAAGGTGACTGGTCCACAGTTATAGATCTGAAGGATGTCTATTTTCAGATCAGCATTCAATCAGATCATCATCGGTTTCTTAGATTTTCAGTTGGGGGAGTGACATACAAATTCAAAGCCCTCCCCTTCAAGTTGTTGACTGCCCCACAGGTATTCACTTGCGTCTCCAGAGTATTATGGTGTTCTCTTACTTGGATGACTGGCTGCTGGTAGCACCTTCTGAGGCCCAGGCCAAGCGAGATATGAGGCTAACTTTATCTCTGCTATTGACCCTAGGAATTCAAAGCCCTCCCCTTCGAGTTGTCGACTGCCCCACAGGTATTCACTTGTGTCTCCAGGGTATTATGGTCTTTCCTTACTTGGATGACTGGCTGCTGGTAGCACCTTCTGAGGCCCAGGCCAAGCGAGATATGAGGCTAACTTTATCTCTGCTATTGACCCTAGGTCTGAGGGTCAATTTGGAGAAGTCAAAATTGCATCCCACTCAGCAAGTTGCCTATATCGGAGCTGTTCTGGATGCTTTGTTGGCTCAAGCCTCACTATCTCTGGACAGGATTTCAAAGATCCGGTCCATGTTACACTCTTTCCGCTGGGGAGCTTGGGTACCAGCCCTTCAAGTTCAGTGGCTGCTTGGCCTCATGGTGTCTATCATGGCTATGGTACAGCATGCCCACTTGAAAATGAGGTTG